CTTTACTTATATTTTAGAATTATTTCTGTTTGTTGTGTACAGTCTTGGTCATAGGCATAGAACAGTAAAAAAAAAAAAAGTTTTTTTTTTTTTAGATTCGATGTACACTGCCCATTACTGCAATATGCAGATAACAAATACTGCAACTCTATGGTTGTGTTAATGTGTACACATCTGCAGAGAAACACAGCAGCGCTGTTGCAGAATGAAGTGCTATTATAATCGTTCTGTAAGGAGTGTAAAATAATGTAGTGTAAAGCAATGACACCCTGTCAAGATATGTGCAGATATGGATGTTTTCATTGATCATGGAGCCACAGAGATATAAAATCAAAGATTAAGTGGAGTTGGAACACAAAAGAATATGTGTTGAAAAATGCCTTTTTTCCTCCATTCAATGGAAGTCAGTGGTGTCCAATGTAGTTGGGATAGTTGAAAAGTTTTTTGTAAGTTTCATTTAACCTAATGGAGTCAGATTAATTGGCTTGCGTATATTAAATATTTTTTACCCAAAAGTAGTTCGTTTAGAATAGATGTTACTACATGAAAGTAGTGCATTTTAAGTTCATATATTTAACATATTGATAAAGCAGATCCAACTGACATCTGTAGATCCATAACTGTCATTGTAAGAAAAAGAATGAGGTATTCCTACTGATTTGGTCTCAAAAGCTGCCACTGAGTCTGCTCAGCAGTCTTAGGTTTTTACAGAGGCCTGGCTGTGGCGCAAAAACACAAGAACTGCAGACCACAGTAAATCTTTCTCACTGGGCCGGCTGGAAATGTCCACAATGCAAAATTAAGATTTACAGCCTTGTCTCTCCTCCATCATTAATCTTTTTATCTGCCTGTTGGACAGATACACAAGCCACTGGAAACCTTAATACCCAAAGACAGAAATAGCAAAATTATTGTGAAAACAGTGCTCTCTTCTGTTTAAAAGTAGAACTACAGGGAGTCTCCACTCATGATTCCTTTTCCTGAAGTTGTTATGTTATGTGCAGTGCAGTTGTGTGTACAAAGACAGACTGATGTATTCTGACAGTGTAAGTGAACTGAAATGCATCAGTGTTCAGAACTATAAATACAGTATAATGTGTGTTACAGCAGCTGCAGCAAAAAGCACAGCAGAGAACAGCACTCACCCCCTGCACATGGGGCTGATTCTTGGGATGCTCCTGCTTCTGCTCGTGATGGTGGCCATCGTCCTGGTGACTGTTTACATCTACCACCACCCGAGCTCTGCTGCGGGACTCTTCTTCATTGAGGTGGGAGTATGGAGGTTTAGGTTAAAGAAATAGTCGATCAAATAAAGAAATCCAAAATTGTATGACTTCTTTCATCTCTGGTACGAATTTCTGAAGTCTGCACTTGTCTGTATTTTAACAATGAATGGGTACTGAAGCTTTAAAGCTCCAAAAAAGGTTGTAAAAAAACAGCACCTTAAAAAGTTGTCCATTCTGATGTCATGAACAAATAATTGAATAAATAGTATTTCTGTGATTCAATGTGAGAAACATTTTTATGGTATTGCTGTATCCTTTTTTGTCTCTATTCATTTTAGTTAAAATAATTTTTTGTTCTGCAAAAGCAAGAATTCATTTTATACATACTGTTTCTTATTACAGATTTAATTGCAAATGAAAGCAACTGTATGTAGTCTTGTGTATTACTGCAACTTTCAATATATCAATGTCATGATTACAGTGGATAGCTGTACACATGTATTTGTTGTTGCCTTTTGATGGAATTTCATACCTGCTCGCCAAGCTTACATACATCCAGGAAGGTAACACGAGCCATTCACCTTATTAGAAGTCAGTGTACCATCTGAATGATTTTGAAACTGACATTTCCTGGTTAAAAACGTACATACAGTTGCTTTAAATCAGTATTTCTAAAGTCATGCATTTTGGATGGCTTGAGCAAAAAGGTAAATGTAAAAACATTTAGAACCACCTAGTAGAACATATATGTCTTGTCTCTGATGGGGAGTGCATTTAAAACAAAATCATTTATTAATATCAAACTCATACATTTACAGAGACGTCCCAGCCGATGGCCAGCGATGAAATTCCGTCGAGGTTCTGGACATCCAGCATACGCAGAGGTGGAGCCGATGGGTCAAGAAAAAGAAGGCTTTATTGAATCAGAGCAGTGCTGAGATTTGACCTTTGACTTCTCGAGTCACACACAGCCCAGCAACCTTCTTGATGTCTAGCTACAAATCCACACATCTCTAATCATAAAGTTCCACCAACCCTCCAAAACGCTGATGAAACTGGAAACAGTGAGGGTGTGGTGATTGAACGGAAGAGGCATCCAGAAACAAATGCTTGGATCTAGTTTTCAACACTCAAAGCAAAACAATCCACATTCAGAGGAAACGTTTGTTAATCAGCTGGATGAATAACGGCCCAGCAGCTTCTGCTCGGTTCCTGACATGGCGTGAGGAACAGCTTTTGTTTGTTGATTGTACAGGATGAGGTTTTGACCTTTACACCCTCAAAATCATTATTGAACTGAATGCAGTTTTGTTTGATCCTCTGATTTGATGTGCCTCTCGGAGAGATTTTTCTTGTCTTGACAGTCTCTGAAATTCATTCAGCACATTCATTCAGTTTATGTGTTGGAAATCTTATATAGACCTTTATATATCTTCAAAAGGGTTTTGTAGGGTTTTTATGTTTTTTTCCTATTACTTTATGACTTCATCTCTTTGATTTGAACAGATGTTTTGGACTATGTTGGATGATTTTAGTTGCTTGTTTGAATATAATTGGAAAATGTTCTGTGAACAAATATGTCAACAGTATGGATTCACTTTTTTTTTTCATCCAACCATATTCCAACATTTAGGACATTTTTGCACATATCCACTTAACACACATATATTGCTTTTTTTCCAAGTTAATTTTTTTTCTCATCTTATGTTACTAATGCATATTTACAAGACAGGCGCTTGTGAGACTGTGTGTGTGTGTGTCTTTGTTTTGATTTTTTGTTGTTTTTGTTGAAATATTATGGTACACAATGATCCCTTAAACATGCCATAGTTGAAATCAAGGTCTCATACTGATTTCAATTTGAAAGACAAGACAAGTGGGGTTTACTGACAGCTGTCAGTCCTTAATCAGACAGAGATATTAATTTGTTTTATAATATTTGATATAGTGATATAGTAGAGTTCTCATATTGCTGTTAGGTCATCTGTGTTTGATAGATTGCAAGCAGTGGAACTGAGAACTGCAAAAATGAATTCATTTTGACTTCAAGAGTGTGATTTATTACTCTACAGAAAGAGTAACACAGCATATTACAACCTTATATGATAAACATTCAATATGTTCTAAATAATATTTTCCATTGTGTTCACTAATAATGGATTTCGAGTTTGAAGGTTTACAATATTTATCCTTATAAAATGCAAATAATTGTGGCACATATTACTTTCTCCTGAAAAGACATTTCGAGTATTGTGACCAAAGAACTGTCATCACACACACACACACACAAATATATATATATAACAATTGTAAAACATTTCCTTAATACTGTACAACCAGATGAAATGGACAATGGTAGATATTTTTGTTTTCTGTTTGATTATTTCAGCAAACCTATGCATTGGGACAGTTCCTGAGAGTTTTTTTCTGTTTTCTTTTCTTTCTTTCTTTTTTCATGTCTGTTAGGTGTTTAAGCATGCATGCAAGGGAGTTACATTTATCTCCAATTTTATCCTCATAACAGGGTGTCTCACCAAAAATCGAGGTCTAAATTCTATTTTTATTATCTTTCTTCACTGGAAGACCTGATTATTTTCAGCAGATGTAACCTGAATGTGTATGTATGTATGTGTGTGACACATCTGAATGTGATGGAAGTGAATGTTTATTATGTGAAATATTCTCGAACAATGTTTCTTGAATGAGGTTAATTTTCTGTTCAGCAGTGATGCCTGGTCTCACAATTCGGGGAAGCAAACATATTAGCGACCTGAATTTTTGATAATCATAATCTTCATGTTGTGCCACACATTGAGAGACAGTGAAATACACAGTGCTGTAATCTGTGTACTCTTGTGTTACTACTGTCAATTTGATTACATTATACAATTTGATTAAATAATAAAGTTGTTTAAACTGACAATTTCCTTTCATGCATCTGGCCTTTAGAATGAATGTCTCTATTCTCTCTTAAAGGCTATATTATGTTGGTATAGAAGTATGAATATTTATAGCAGTTAGGTGAAAGTAAATGTTATGGCCAAATGAATGTGTGCAGCAGCTCAAATCATAGTATGATTCTTAAAGGGATAGGTCAACCAAAAATGAAAATTCTGTCTGTGTGTATGATTTTCAGTACGACTATTGTCTTTATATTAATGAGAAAAATATTGAATGCATAAAACAATGTTTCTAATCTTATTGAAGAAGTAATCCTGATTAACGTATTTCTGTAAATGTTAATTGTCAAAGTGCACATTGAAATATATATTTTTATTGCCAAGGTACGAGGGAAAAAAAATTAAATAAAGGTCAAATTCAAATTACATACGTATCATAGTACATATAACTAGGAATACTATTAGCATTGTTGTTGTTGTTGGTATAAAAATAATAATAAAATACATTTTATATTTCGACAATTTTGAGATGTAATTTAAAAATATATATTTTATTAATTCGTTGCTAAAAGAACAAGAGGTATTACATATTCACATGATCAGATTAACATTAGCTGCCAGATAAAAAAAAAAAGAAAAGAAAAGAGAAAAAAAAAAGAAAGGAAGAAAATTACATAAATTTCAATGCTTTCAGAGCATTACATGTTTTCGGTGCTTTTTGTTTTTTACAAGAGATTTAAATGTAATTTAAAGTCATTTATTAAATGTGAAAAATTTATTTTTAGATGTAAATATGTTGTTACCAGAGCCGTTGAGAAAAAAGCTCTGGTTGTTACTGTGACGCTACAGTCACGTGTCTGTCTGTCAGCGATCTCTGTCCTCTGATTGGACGAGCAGTTTCAGCACAGCTAGCACCAACTCGGTCAGTGTAGTTCATAAACAATTCATCTTCTTATCGGCTTCTCGGTTGAATTATAATATTCTCCGCAGTTCTGAGGAAATCTCGTCGAAACTGTCTTGAGTTTCGTCTGGATGGCTGAAATCTCCGTTACAGGTAAGCGGTTAATTATGGCTTCTCGCCTGAAAACGGCTAGCTGTAGTGAAGTGTGGTTAGTTACGGCCTCTCACCTCAGCAATATTATCTAAGTAGTTAAGAAAATCAAACTAAATAAAAAAGAGATGTGTTGTGACTTCTTTAAGCGATTTATTTGACCGTTTACAGAAGGATATTTTACCAGCCATCATCACTTTACGTCGCGTCCATAAGAACGAAGTGGAAGGAAGTTTGTCGATGTGTAACCAACTAAACGCACGAAAAGAGTGTCAGTAAATTCATGAATTGTATTTCTGACTTTCTAACAGTAAAGAGAATGGCAGGTCACGTCTTATCTTTGCCATGTGACAGCCTGTTGCAAAAAAGCTGAGTCACTATGTGTAGAACGTACAGTTTATGCAAAGAATCCAGTCATGGCTGTATATAGATAGTGCTGCAGTAATAAAGTCAAAGGGCAGAAAATAATCCTGACAACCATTTGTCTTCACTTTTAGACACATCGAAGTTGAATCCAGAGTCTGCCGAGTTTGTACCACAAGCTAAACCCAACCAGCCCTACTCTAGGAGAAGTTACAGGCAGCAGCACCACACTCAGGACTGGAGGGCTCAGCATGTTAGGCCTCATCATCACTTTAGACAGTCCGATGCGACTAAGCATGGTCAAGATGAGTCTGACAACCCTGCCAGTTATACATTACCACCTCCTGAACTTCCCATCAGAGGAGACATAAGAGGTAGGGGAAGACAAAGAGGAGGACGCGGTGATGGTAGGCGCATTAATGACCATCGTGCTCCGAATGAGAGATGGACAAAACCTGGAAGTGATAACGACTACTCAGGAAGGGACCACGGAGCTTGTGGCCGTGAGCGACCCAACTCACCCACTTCTAATAGATCCACGGATGAGGAGAAGAAAGAAAGAACAACTGTGGAAGCCGACGTAAGAGTGTCTTATCAAGCTAGCCGACGTAAACAGCCCAATAAAGCAAGAGTTGAGAGATCGATAAAGGAGCCTCAGCCCAAGGACCAAGAGGAGAACAGGGAAAACCAGGCTGATGCAGGAGACACAAAGCCTGCAGCGGTTCATGAACATCCAGAGCCTGAGCAGAGGAACCATAAGGGATGGAGAGGTGGAGATCGCCGCATGCAGCCCAGTTCCTGGAGGAAAGGGCTGGCCCCTAACCATGGGATTGAAGGTAACTGGAGAGAAAGAGAACCTGCTCAGATCAGAGAGGAGAGGAGAGGTGCAGAAGTTGAGGGCAGAAGACAAGAGGAGTCCAGCAGAAACAGAGGAGCTGCGAGAGGGGAGGAGAGGAGAGGTGCAGAAGGTGAGGGCGAAAGACAAGAGGAGTCCAGCAGAAACAGAGGAGCTGCGAGAGGGGAGGAGAGGAGAGGTGCAGAAGGTGAGGGTGAAAGACAAGAGGAGTCCAGCAGAAACAGAGGAGCTGCGAGAGGGGAGGAGAGGAGAGGTGCAGAAGGTGAGGGTGGAAGACAAGAGGAGTCCAGCAAAAACGGAGGAGCTGCGAGAGGGGAGGAGAGGAGAGGTGCAGAAGGTGAGGGTGGAAGACAAGAGGAGTCCAGCAAAAACGGAGGAGCTGCGAGAGGGGAGGAGAGGAGAGGTGCAGAAGGTGAGGGTGGAAGACAAGAGGAGTCCAGCAGAAACAGAGGAGCTGCGAGAGGGGAGGAGAGGAGAGGTGCAGAAGGTGAGGGCGGAAGACAAGAGGAGTCCAGCAAAAACAGAGGAGCTGCGAGAGGGGAGGAGAGGAGAGGTGCAGAAGGTGAGGGTGGAAGACAAGAGGAGTCCAGCAAAAACGGAGGAGCTGCGAGAGGGGAGGAGAGGAGAGGTGCAGAAGGTGAGGGTGGAAGACAAGAGGAGTCCAGCAAAAACGGAGGAGCTGCGAGAGGGGAGGAGAGGAGAGGTGCAGAAGGTGAGGGTGGAAGACAAGAGGAGTCCAGCAAAAACGGAGGAGCTGCGAGAGGGGAGGAGAGGAGAGGTGCAGAAGGTGAGGGTGGAAGACAAGAGGAGTCCAGCAAAAACGGAGGAGCTGCGAGAGGGGAGGAGAGGAGAGGTGCAGAAGGTGAGGGTGGAAGACAAGAGGAGTCCAGCAAAAACGGAGGAGCTGCGAGAGGGGAGGAGAGGAGAGGTGCAGAAGGTGAGGGTGGAAGACAAGAGGAGTCCAGCAAAAACGGAGGAGCTGCGAGAGGGGAGGAGAGGAGAGGTGCAGAAGGTGAGGGTGGAAGACAAGAGGAGTCCAGCAAAAACGGAGGAGCTGCGAGAGGGGAGGAGAGGAGAGGTGCAGAAGGTGAGGGTGGAAGACAAGAGGAGTCCAGCAAAAACGGAGGAGCTGCGAGAGGGGAGGAGAGGAGAGGTGCAGAAGGTGAGGGTGGAAGACAAGAGGAGTCCAGCAAAAACGGAGGAGCTGCGAGAGGGGAGGAGAGGAGAGGTGCAGAAGGTGAGGGTGGAAGACAAGAGGAGTCCAGCAAAAACGGAGGAGCTGCGAGAGGGGAGGAGAGGAGAGGTGCAGAAGGTGAGGGTGGAAGACAAGAGGAGTCCAGCAAAAACGGAGGAGCTGCGAGAGGGGAGGAGAGGAGAGGTGCAGAAGGTGAGGGTGGAAGACAAGAGGAGTCCAGCAAAAACGGAGGAGCTGCGAGAGGGGAGGAGAGGAGAGGTGCAGAAGGTGAGGGTGGAAGACAAGAGGAGTCCAGCAAAAACGGAGGAGCTGCGAGAGGGGAGGAGAGGAGAGGTGCAGAAGGTGAGGGTGGAAGACAAGAGGAGTCCAGCAAAAACGGAGGAGCTGCGAGAGGGGAGGAGAGGAGAGGTGCAGAAGGTGAGGGTGGAAGACAAGAGGAGTCCAGCAAAAACGGAGGAGCTGCGAGAGGGGAGGAGAGGAGAGGTGCAGAAGGTGAGGGTTGAGGGTGGAAGCCGTGAGGAGTTCAACAGGAACAGAGGAGCTGCGAGAGGGGAGGAGAGGAGAGGTGCAGAAGTTGAGGGTGGAAGCCGTGAGGAGTTCAACAGGAACAGAGGAGCTGCGAGAGGGGAGGAGAGGAGAGGTGCAGAAGTTGAGGGTGGAAGCCGTGAGGAGTTCAACAGGAACAGAGGAGCTGCGAGAGGGGAGGAGAGGAGAGGTGCAGAAGTTGAGGGTGGAAGCCGTGAGGAGTTCAACAGGAACAGAGGAGCTGCGAGAGGGGAGGAGAGGAGAGGTGCAGAAGGTGAGGGTGGAAGCCATGAGGAGTTCAACAGGAACAGAGGAGGTGCAAGAGGGAAAAGGCCACTACTGCAGAATCCAGGGCCGAGGAGAGGTGGAGGTCCAGAGCGACGGACCGGACCGGTGAAGCGCATGGAGCCTCCCAAAAGCAAAGAAACCCAGACAGGTGATGTGCTTTAGATCAGGGGCTTGTACCATGAAGCCGGTTTAGACCAATCGGCTCTGAGCAATGTGATCTCTGATGCAATGAAGTTACTCCACAGGTTTCAATTTTACAATTAATAGTAAACCTTTAGTTTAAATGCATGTAAATATATACAGTATACTGTAGCAAGACTCAATATATAAAACATAAATGTTATTGTGGACTGACCTATAGATATAATCAACTATACAAAATAACTTGTTTTAACTTTATGATGTAGGTAGATGTCCTTTTATTTGTCCCCTTTTTTCTCTTAATATTCAGCAGAAGAGGGAAGTGAATCTCACTAATTTTCTTGTGAGAAGTAAACCACATTTTCAGTTTTGCACATCATGTGATTGGCTGTTAACTACTGATGTCACACTATCACACTTTCAAATCCTCAATAGTTATTAATTAACTAAGTTTAAAGCCTGAGCTTAGGGAGGAAGTTGATAATCAGCATGGTACTAACAATACCTGATTGGATTGGTTTTGTCAACTTCAACCCAATCATGTAATCCAGATTTTGTTCAGGTAGCTCCATGGTACAGGCCCCAGGACTTATATACAAGTAATGAATATACAAGTGTTTGTTTTATTCTTTTCTTTTTATTGTCACTTACAGCTATACCCTTGTAAATCTTTTGTAAGATAATCAATAATGGACAAATTTCTAGAGAATGATAGTACTGTATTTCTGTGTCTCTCTTAGTTACATGTTTTTTAACATGTTTAACACTGTGTGTATGTGTGTGTGTGTGTGTATAGGTTGTCTAATTGAGCAGCTGACGGAGGAGAAGTATGAGTGTATGGTCTGTTGTGAAGTGATTCGGGTCATGGCTCCGGTTTGGAGCTGTCAGAGCTGTTTCCATGTATTCCACCTTAACTGCATCAAGAAATGGGCTCGCTCACCTGCATCTCAAGCTGATGGTACGTCAACTGCCTCTCACCTATGATAGGGGACATTACCAAAGACTGTGTATATGCACTAAAAGACGGTGCTCTCGTATTGTTAGATATGGTAGAATCTGCAACGCACAATTTGGCAATGCAAAAAAAAATGTTGTTTGAGAGTTCAGTATTTCCTCAGTAGATAGGAGTAGGGCTGGGTATCGTTCAAAAATTTTCGATACCGATACCTTGACTTCAATACCGGTTCCTGAACGATACTTTTTTCGATACCAATTTTATGAAATAAATTTTAACAAGATTACATTATCTAAAAAAAAAAAAACTTTCATGCATCTCCTGAGCCACTGCACAAAGGAACAAAATGTAACCAACACATTCGCTTGTCATTTGTCGGAGATAGTGGAAAGCCGGCTTGAAATGCAGTGGAAATGCCAGTATGACGAGGATCGTTTTCATTTTAAAACATAAACTCACCAGTGTAAATGTAGCCTTACATCAAAGGGGGCTGGGACGCATTCGCACTACAGCCTCACGTGTGCGCCACATCTCTGAGTGTAACCGGTGTAAACTACTAGGTGTGTTCGACTTGACGCGGGCTGACTGTGTAGACAGATCGGTGTATTACAGTACCACGAGAGCTAAAGAGAATAGACTGCTCCGTGCACTTTCGAATCGCTCTCGCCGATGTCAAACACTGATCGATCTGTGCCGCACCTCTTCTAGTCGAACACACCGGCTAGTGCTGCAGGCTTATTGGCTCACTGACGCTGATGAGATTAACCCCTTAGGTATCGAAATTTGGTACCGAACGACGAGACGTTTTTCGATACT